AAAAACGTATATATTATACTGATTTTCCATAAAAGTTATACGTTATAAAACTTAATATTTTTATGGAATTTTTATATTAAATTTTTTATTGGGATGAGATTATGATAAGATATAAAATTAAAGTTAGAGTTAAAGATGTAAAATTAGGATATGGTTTGAAATTAGATTTAGGGTTAGGTTAAAGATATAGGATTAGAATATATTTAGCATTCCTTGTAGATATTTTTATAAAGTTTTTAAGAAAAGTTTACAAGTTAAATTTTATCATTAATTTAATAGTTTAGAACTTAGTATTACTAATGAAAAATTAGTTTTATTGAATATGCTTTTAATTATTGAAGATAATAATTTTTACATTAGCAGTTATGATGAAACAAATTTAATTATATTCATTAGGTCAGTAATAATCAAATTTATACAAAAAATCTTTAAAATATTGTTTTTATTAAAGTAAAATATGAAAATTCCTTAGGAATTGTAAGAAAAGTTTAAGATTTAACATAAAAATTAAATTGCTACAATAAGTTAAATAGGATACTTCAAAACTTTTTAGATGAAAATTAGTAAAATTTTAAGAATATTAGGTTACTAATATTAGAAATAATTATCAAGAAGAAAATGAATTTATTATTATTTGTTTTAATCCAATTATTTTAAGAAGATGTAAACATTCTTCAAATCAATATCTGAGTGAAAAAAATTGTAAGACAGTAAGAATTAAAAAATTGCTAATTTAGCATTAGAACATATCACAAATGATAAAACAGTTAATTAAACTAATAATGATGAAAATAATTAAAAAAAATAAAGAAAATATACAGAGTATCAAGGTATAAGTTATAATTTGCAAAATTATAAAAGAATTCTTAGTGAAAAAATTTAATTGTCAGTTTTAGTAGAATTTTTAAGCATATTAATTGTAATTTACTATATTTCATTATTAATTAATAAAATTAATTATAATAATGCAACTGCTATTAAATCATAAGATTTATTAATATTGGTGAAATTACCTGCAGTAATAATTAGAAATTTTCTTAAATAAAATTATTTATTATAAATAATCAAATAGTTAACAGCTAATATTTAATAATTAGTTCTATTATAATCAACCTTAGTCTATTAAGTTAATTGACTAATTTTATATTTAATATAATAATAATAAATTTAACTTTAATATATTAATATTACTAAGTAAAAAATCAGTTTAAGGATTAATTTTATAAAATGAAATAGAATGTAGAAACAGAAATCAATTTTATAAAAAAAAAAAGCTAATCTTAATCATTATTTAGTAATATATTTAAAATTTTCAAGAATTATTATTTTCAATATTTTCAAACATATCCTTATATTTAAAGAAATGCTTAATTTTGAAAGTATATGATACTTTTATTTATGTTTTCTATTTGAAAAAAAAAATAATGTTGCTATATGTGACTTTATTTATTAAATTTGTCACCATGTGAAATCCTATTTGTCACTTAATACCGTATATTGCGGGCCATAGTATCCTTTTATGTATAGTAAGTACCTAACTGATGAAACTTATTATCTAAATAATCTAAAGAATTTCTCAGATCTTATTAATTAACAGATACCCCAATTATGATATAAGTTTTAAACACCCTCTATTAATAATAAAAACTCGAGTAATGGGGGTACAGGGCCAAACGTCCGAAATTTGCAAGATACCCGGGTACTATGGCCTGCAATATACGGTATTTGTCACGGATTGGCCTTTAAGGAAATTTGACAGGCTTGCGTTTTTAACGTAACATTTTTTACGATACTCGACCTAGAATTTCCGTTCGAAACTAGTGTATTCGAAAATTTGAATGCATCATAAAAGTTACAATATATTTTTTTACTTTCATATGCTAAATATTTCAAATCTTTCTATTGCAATGTTTCATATAGTATGACAATATTATCGTAGAAATTCGAAAATTAATGGGAGATTCGAATTTACTATCCGAAATTTTCGAATATTCGAATTTCTATTTGAATTTCGAACGAAACCTTCAACCTGGCCAATTATTGAGAAAAGAAAAAAATTCTAGTAGAAATGATCGACATTTTTTTTTTTTTATTTTTTTTTTTTTTAGATGCTTAATATATAAAAGAATTATTACAAAAGTAAATAAAAGCTTATTAACACCAAGGTTCCAGTAATGATATTATAACCGGGCTTCGTTAAATCACAACTTGAGGAAATTTCTAAAGAATCCGAAACAGAACCCTGCGTGGGTTGCGCATTTGCGGAATTCACGCCCATGGTTGTCATTGAACCTGTAGGTTTTGGACCTAAATTTGGTGTTTCAATTTGTTTTGGAGGCACGGTTAACTGTTCTGGCCAAACATATCCCTGAGGAAGATTAATTCCTCCATACATTCCGTTCTTACAACTAAAGAGATGATTAAATAAATACTAAGTTAATATCAGCACATTCAAATAATCAAAAAAAAAAACCCCCCAAACATGCTTACTCGTCTGACACATCAGAAAAGAAAACGTAGGTCCGTTTCTCCTCAACGGCTATACTGACATTAAATGGAGTTTTATGAACTCCAAGATCAAAACCTACAAATTTAAATTAGGTTTAAACGTTAAATAAAAAACAAATGTAATATTTTCAATTTTTTTTTTTTAAAAAAAAAAATCAAATATAATGAACAAAAAACAATGAACTCGTTGACATACCTCCTTCTTTTTTTACGCACGGCGTTTCAGGAGTTGATTCGATCACAGAATGTTTCAATTCCCCTTCCCATTCCCAATATAACACATCACCTTTACCGGCAGTGAAATTATTTTGGCTAAATCCGGTTCCCATGTAACCGACCTTAATAACATGATTTGTAATTGAAACTGGTTGGTCTTCAGGTGCTGACGAAGGTTGCGAACTAACGGCAACAATTAAAATTGATATTAACAAAACGACGCTTATCAATTTTTTATGCATCATCTTTATTTATTATTTTATAATTTTGTAAAATGATTTTGTTTGTTTAATCAAAAGAAAAAGATTCATACCCGTATTTATAAGAAAATTTTGTTTCAACGATTAATATAATGACTTTTACTTAGAAAGAACCATAAAAGAAGTTAAAATAGGGAATTGATTAAATAAAAATTTATGTGGCAAACAATTAAAGCCGAAACACATAATATATATTTGATTTATTTTGTTAATCATGATCGTCTACCAAGATTTTGTTTCATAATTTCCTTTGTTATACCTAATTAATTAGTTTAATTCCAAATTTTGTGTAACGTGTGGTAGTTCATCCAGCCAAAATTATCCTCAAAGGAAGATTTGTGGTTCATAAAAAATCTTCATGTTCTTTGATTATTTTTCATGTTTGGGATAAATATATTGAATGTTTCACTTGATGTAATATATCTACAAGGAACTCCATTTAATCGTTTCATACTTGCCACTGGGCGAATTCGTTATTTAAGGTGGGATGTTTGGTCGTACTTCTTTCTAGCATTTCCCTTCGTATCTTTTTCAAAAAGTTATTTGTATAAAGAAATTTTGCGGGGAATGGTTGATTTAATTTATACATGTTCTGAATATCATTGTTTTCTGTACCTAAAGTTTTTTTTTTTGGTCACGCAATTTTAGCTATTTTCTACGTGATTTCCATTTTTCGTCTTCCTTTTTATTTTGACAATCCTTTATATTCTTCATTAATCTTTGCGAGAAACTAATTATTATAACCATCAATTGTTGTGAACAAGATTTTCGCGTTTCACAATTGTACCGTTCAGCATCAGCCACCCACCGCTAATTACGGACGACAAAAGCCTTTACGAATCGGGAATGTGGCGTCCATCCGAGATTGTTGCTCATTTAGGAATGAGTTACACTCGTCCGGAATGTGTTCATTTTTTAAAAAAAAAAATGCGGCAAGTCAAATTTTACAACAAAAAACCTCATTTGAAACTTGCGAGCAATTTTTGCCATGGCCGATCCTTTGTCGATCATTTCCAAAAAGTATTTTAAAGTATAATATATCCGAAGTATGACATGTGATGTATACACGTGATATTTTTTTTTTCAGTCGGATATTTTAACTCCGAATGACACGACAAATTTAAAATTTAAAAATCTTAATTTTTATTAAATAAACATCTTAATCATAACTTAAGTTTTTTTTTTTAAAAATCCTTTTCTCTTTCAAAAAAAAATTAATGTGAACCTTACAAAAAATAGCTTACTACCTGTTTTATTTTTTTTTTTCTCTTTCAAAAAAAAATTAACGTGAACCTTAAAAAAAAATAGCTTACTACCTGTTTTTTTTTTTTTTATATAAATCTTAAATCGTAAATTAAAAGAAATTAAGAAGTGAATTGTATTGGCTTTGCGAACCAGTACTTATACATACATAAAATGAATAAAATAGATAACGATTTCGTTTTGCCAAGCGAAGTCCAATAAGGATTAAGAAAAAAGGAAAATTTATTTTTTTTGGTTATTTATGAAATTATATTTTTTTTTGATAATAATAAAATAAAATTTATAACCGATAACATAAAAAAAATATACATCTTTACTGTTAAAACAAAAAAAAAAAAAAAAAATCGGCATCTTTAAAAGTCGTCCATATTCATATCGATATTGCCATCATAAATGCCCTGCCAATTGTAGGCGGGGACATCTTGCGTTGTGTCATCATTTCCTTCCGCTCCCGTACAAATGCATTCAAACGGAAAATTACAAACCTCACATTGCGTAAATGGAGATGTGAAGTAAATGTCATGTCGAATTAATGGAGTTTCGTGAAAGCTTGGTAAAATTGGTGGTTGTTCTTGATAAGGCGCGTCAAAGGATAGTTTTGGTGTCTCCATAGGATAAGGAAGGGTTTGATTTGGGTATTGAGATGGATCGCTTTCGATAATATTATCACTCGTTGCAGTAATATCATTAGATGATCTATTCGGTTGCAATGGCAAAATGGTGGGAGGAACACGCGAAGCGTCCAAATCTTGGGCCCTCTTGCGGTAGATCTTGCTTACTTTCTTTGCAAACTCTCGATATTCGTCCTTTAACTCTTCTCTTTCAATGCTCCAAGATTCCGAAGCCCATCGCGAAGCTTCCGTCATCTTGTAGTGCAATTCTTCCGCCAAAAGCGTTTTAACATATATTTTGCGATATATTATAAATGCATTTGAAGGTTTACAGCCTCTAGACTTCCTAGGCATAAAATCTTCTGGATTCAAATTCAACATACGAGGAGACGAAACGATTATTTTGGGTCGTGAACGAGTATTTAAAGATTGTGAATTTGATTCCATTTTTTTTTTTTTTTTTTTTTTTTTTGAAAGAAGGATCGATTTTTAACGTTATTTTTTTGTTATTTTTTGAACTCGAATGGGTTGAGAGAAAAAAAAAGCAAGAGGGAATGATGCGTTTATATAATTTATTCGGAAAGTATCTTGAACAAAAGCAATCTCCGAAAGATGTTTGTTAAATATTGCTTTCCTAAATTGGAATATCATATAAGTTCAGATGTTCTGTATACTATTGTTTGTAACTAAATCTGTAAAATTAATTATAGGCAACTTTAAATTATACAATATTATTGCAATAACAATGTTTAATTACAAAAAGTATGTAAAACCTTTTTATATCCGCTTCGGTCGATAAGCCACGTAGAACAATACACGTGACATCATTCCTTTGTTGTCCAAAGCGGGCTTAGAAAAAGAAGTAAGTTTAATATGAAAAGAAGGTAAAAAAAAAAATTATTTCGTGTCTATATTAAATTAAGTCCGATTAGCGTAACATGAATGAATTACAGATAACAATTTGATCGGAACTATCGGCGAACATTGCATTAGCAGAAAAAAAAAAGAAAAAAAAAAAATCACTTGACATTATTAGCGGGTATAGCTTTCCGATTACTTTAATATTTTACTTGCATAACATTAATTGATTTTTCAATTTTAGGAGATTGCAAACCGATTCGGTTTTAAAATACAAAAGGAACTCTTCCTTTTTGAATCATAAATCTTTGCGAACCTGCCTTTTCGAATTGTCGGATTTAATAAGGTAGGAAAAAGTTCAAAAGTCTTATTTTACTTTTCCTATTTTCTGCTCTAAATTTAAATAATTTTAAGAGGAGTATTGTATGTATAAATAAAGGGTTATGTGATTTAATATGAAGAAAATAACAATAAAATGAGATCATTGTAAAACATATCGCGCTTTTATCACATTTTACAAAACCTACCCTGTCCCGCATGCATTTATATAGATGTTATCTTGGTGACATAAATATTTCATGATGATAAAACGTTTCGTGAACTTTTTAAGGCGCAGTAATGGTTTATAGCAGGATCGTCACCATAGAGAGACCAATGACCTCGAGGTCGATTTTATTGCACGCAGTTGCTTTATCAACATCTCATTGAACATCATTTTTTGGTCATTTATTATGATAACTCGAGATCTTACGATCATAGTGATCTTTGCTCTTGCATATATGAATGAATAGTTTTTGATTTTCTATTTTTGGTTTGCTAGATTACCATAAACACTTTATTTTGATATGACGTTAACGAATCAAAAATGTACTTATAAGATAACAGGTTGATAAATTTATCTCTGTGATACGAATCACAATCATTTCTTTTTTTACATTTCCTATTGAATTCCCACTCAATATTTCCCCGTGAAATGAATGATGTTAATTTAGATTTAAATTAATTTTGCATTTCAGGCTATGCAAACCTTAAACTTTAATATGAATTAAGCATGTAAGCTAAAATATAATCTAACTTAATACGCCTTATTGAACTAATGTTCTTTTTGTTACATTGCTTGTCGGAAATTGTTTTTGCTCTCTAGTAATCAAGCGTAAAAGGAAATAGACCGCTAATTGAGAGATAATTGCTTGAAAACATTTGTTTCATGATTATCCATGTATAGATTGTGAAACTTGCGAAACAAATCATATCTCATGTAAGATTTCTTCTCTTTTTTTTTTTAAACTTGCCGTAAATGAAAAACAGAATGCAAGCAATTAATCAATATAATTTTGAGGAGATGTTAAAATTTAAGTCCGTTTATGATGTGCGCGATCGAGAATAATTTTTAAATGATATTATTAATTTATTGCATGATTGTTAATTATCTTCATTGAATTTTAATGGTATCGGAATAATCTGTGTAAATCAATTCTTACTAAATATGATTAAGAATAAAAGATAGAAAGAAAGAAAACGCTTGTGATTTGAAAAGAGAAATTGTAGTAAATGTTTTTTTAAAAAAATATAAAAAAGGAAAGAAGAGAAAAGAAAAACGCGGCGAAAATCTCGCGTCCGAATTCTTCTAGAAAAAGCGTGCAAATATGTACAACATCATCGCATTTTTATTGGTTCAAAAATGAACACCAAATGATCACCCTTTAACCCATGACGGAATCCTGAACCGTCAAGCATGATACACAATGACGAGAATAAAAACTTATAAACATCAAATCTATTCTTTCAAAAATTACTATTCCACTTTCATTGGTTTATTGCGCTTAATATCTTAAAAAAATTTTTACCTTGAATTCAGGGTCAGGTGCTCAAGTCACCATTACAAGAGCACAGAGCACAGTTAGTACCTGATTAAGCGACATATGATCTTGTGATTTTGTGAAACATTTCGCAAACTTAACCTAGGTCAATGAATATAATCATGACTGCGCTTCCCATATCGTCGGTTTATTATTTAAACTGTGATCAAATTGTTTGTGTAAATAAACAATTCCTTATAATTTTTCCTATAGTAGTACGCATTTTTGACGGAAAGTGATTCTTCAAATGACAGTTTCGGTTTTATAATAATGCGATTCGGATGGCATCACCGCTTGCGACGTTGTGAAACCTTTTCTCGGAAAAATTTGCTTTTGTTTCGACCATAACCGGTCAAATCCCCTCCAAGTTGAATGAATTTTTAGTTAGAAATGAGTAAACTTATTCGAGGAACATTTGAAAAAACAATTTTGTTATTGATAAACGATAAACGGAATTGGGATCGTATTAAGAATTTGTACTGGACAGATGAGATTTGTTTTTACAAAAACCTTTTACAATTAAGGATATTAATTATTTATTTTAATAATTGTCGCGTTTGTATTTCACGGTAAGGTGATACCACGTTATGGATGAGAAAGGGTAATATCCCAACAAAAGGTTAGAAACGAGGGGGATGTAAATTGAAAATTCGTATGATTAGTGCGACATCTTATGCAGTTATTTGAAATCGAAGACCCATCCATGCATTTGATTTGTGACATGCAAATATAACTGTTTACAAATCAATTTTACCCTTTCTGGTAAGTTATTTCAAATTTATTTCCGAATAACGATTATTTGGTTACGTAATAACTGGTTATCGTGTTTGACAAACGAAAATCTAATCGGTAAAGTTTTTCCGTTAATTAAAATTAATGAAATTTCTTCGTGCCATAAATTAAAGATCTCATTGGATAAAAATTCGAATTCCAAACAAACATTTCTGTGTTCCATCTATAAAATAGTAATGAATATCTTTCATGAAAATCAATTTTTTTCTGAACTTTGTTTCTTATAAATAGTTAATTGAAGTAGGTCTTTCGTATATCATATATCATCCCGCTACTCCCTTCCCTTCCCTCAGTTTCCTTTACCCTAATTACTTTCCCTTTCTTTCTAATATTCCATGACTAACATAACAACTTTTCGCAGGTCGACTCTTTTTTTATATCTTCATTAAATTATTTACCGAAGAGCAAAATTAATGTTAATGATGGTTATCCTTTTACCAAAGTTAACTTCTTCGAGGGATCTGTTATATTTAATTTTAATATTTACATTCATAAATTACAATTATTCTTCTCCTGCTGATACATCAACTGGTGTTAATGAAAATATTGGATTTGATCATGTCCAACGGGAGAATAGCATGATCGCAATTTACATTATGTACAGTATAAGTCTACTTACTCTACAATTTGGAAGTTTGTGTTCGCTCTATGTCATAATCCGTACCTTATTAAGATGGAGGCGATTAGGTTCGTCATTAAACATGGCACATAAATTGCCTTTTTATGTGGCATTATCGGGTAAGGATGTCGAAATAAATGTAGAATTTCAAAATAAAAAAATCAAAACTAATCCTCAACTTTTTTTTTTTTTTTTTTTTTTAAAGATTTAGCCATCTACATTGTCTTGACGATAAATTTGGTAAATATTTTTAAAAGATATTGGAAATCGTATTCATTCATATATAACTTAAGAACCTTCAAATTTATTGTAATGATTCGAATTTTCTTCCTTCCTTGTCCTTTTGTTTGCAATGCTTGCAATTATAAAGTATTATCCGGCAGGTAAAACGAACATTTCGTACATTCATTAATGGTCTTTAAATTAAATTTTCAATTTATTGAAATATTCGATCAACTCTTACTTTAGTAAATAAACAGCTCTGGGATGATTATTCCTGTAAGCTTGTTGCTGCTAGCTTCTATTACTTTGCCATTAGCAACATGTTTCTTGTGGGCTCTTTATCCGTTCTTAGCTATTTCAGAGTGTGCAGGACTGTATATTACGAATTAGGGTGGTTGGATTACAAATTATTTTTATTCCCAATTGTTTTACCTGCTGTAATAACTGCACCGGTACGTTTATTCAATTCTATATAAATATATGCATACGTATCTC